ATCGCGCCTCATATATTCAGTGGAGGTTTAAATTAGTACACTTACACCCAGTTAGTCTCTTAGGGGGGGCGCTAATGGCTTTATAACGCCCCTGTTCATTTATTAAGTGAGGGGCGGGGAAGGAGGAGGAGGAGGGAGACACTCAGCGCATGTGCACGATCTCTTCAACAGAAAGATTATGCGTTGGGACTTTTGTATACAGATGGTTTCTTTTGTTTGCGCGAGTGTATTTAGTCTGAGTTGCTGTGTCTACGTGTGTTTGTCCTTATGTAAACGATGTATTTATTATATTTGCATAAAGAATTGTATGGTCACATAAATTTATGATTGAGATAGGGTCGCTGCGTCAGTACCACAATAAACGGTATTTAATACTGATTGGGTGAGGAGAGAGAGAGAGAGAGAGAGAGAGAGAGAGAGAGAGGAGAGAGAGATGAGAGAGAAGAGAGAGAGAGAGAAGAGGAGAGTGAGAGGAGAGAGGAGAGAGAGAGGAGAGAGAGGAGAGAGAGAGAGAGAGAGAGAGAGAGGAGAGAGAGAAAGAGAGAGAGGAGAGGAGAGGGAGGGAGAGGAGAGGAGAGAGAGAGAGAGAGAGGAGAGAGAGAGAGAGAGAGAGGAGAAGAGAGAAGAGAGAGAGAGAGGAGAGACAGAGAGAGAGAGGAGACGAGAGAGAGAGACACAGAGAGAGACACAGAGAGAGAGAGACAGAGAGAAAGAGAGAGAAAGAGACAGAGAGAGAGAGAGAGAGAGAGAGAGAGAGAGAGAGAGAGAGAGAGAGAGAGAGAGGAGAGAGAGAGAGAGAGAGAGAGAGAGAGAGGAGGAGGGAGGGAGAGGAGGGAGGGAGAGGGAGAGAGAGGGAGAGAGAGAGAGAGGAGAGAGAGAGAGAGAGAGAGAGAGAGAGAGAGAGAGAGAGAGAGAGAGAGAGAGAGAGAGAGAGAAGAGAGAGAGAGAGAGAGAGAGAGAGAGAGAGACAGCGTGCTAAGTTGACGTAGCAAATATTACGCAACACAGAGCAAAGATAGGCTGATAACAGACATAATATGAATGGAAATATTATAACAAATATGTCGTAATACAGACGTATATTCCACTACGTAGGTGAGATAGCTAATAATATATATATAGTTTTTTTTTCTTTTTATTATTTTCCTTTCCATACACCCACACTTTGTTTTTTTTTCTTCCTCTGCTCTTTTTTTCTCTCTCTTTCCCCCTTTTTTTCTCTCTTCCTTCCCCCTTTCCTCTGCCCATTTACTCCCATGTATTTATTGTTGTCCATCGGGGGTGGGGAGAACGAGGGGTGGGGGAGAACGATCACTTACCGACGCTCCTTCACGCGCTTATCAATGTCTCTCCCTTCTCCCTCCCTCCCCCTCATCCCTCCTTCTCTTTTCCCCTGCCCCCTTTCCCCTCCTACTCCCTCTCCCCTCCCTCCCTCCTTCCTTCTCCTCTCCCCTCTTCCCTCCTTTCTCCCCCTACTCCCTCTCCCTCCTCCCTCCTTCCTTCTCCTCTCCCCCTCTTCCCTCCTTTCTCTCCCCCTCCTCCTACTCCCTCCCCCTCCCTCCCTCCTCCTTCCTTCCTCTCCCCCTCTTCCCTCCTTTCTCTCCCCCTCCTTCCTACTCCCTTTCCCGTCTCCCTCCCTCCCTCTCCTCCCCCATTCCCCTATTGCGATAAAGAAACAAGTTATGTCCCGAGATTTATTGAGGGAAGGAGGGAAGGGAGCGAAAGAGGGAGAGAGAGAGAAGGGAAAAAATAAAATAGAGGGAATTTTTTTTTTTTAGATAAAGGAAGAAAAAGTGGGGATGTTTGAACGTTTGTATATGTAAACGAATGAGGATTGAAACAAACTGAGAGAGAGAGAGAGAGAGAGAGAGAGAGAGAGAGAGAGAGAGAGAGAGAGAGAGAGAGAGAGAGAGAGAGAGAGAGAGAGAGAGAGAGAGAGAGAGAGAGAGAGAGAGAGAGAGAGAGAGAGAGAGAGAGAGAGAGAGAGAGAGAGAGAGAGAGAGAGAGAGAGAGAGAGAGAGAGAGAGAAAGAGAGAGGAGAAAGAGAAAGAGAAGAAGAAAGAAGAAGAAAGAGAGAGAGAGAGAAGAGAGAGAGAGAGAGAGAGAGAGAGAGAGAGAGAGAGAGAGAGAGAGAGAGAGAGAGAGAAAGAGAGAAAGAGAGAGAGAGAGAGAAAGAAGAGAGAGAAGAGAGAGAAAGGAGGAAGGGAAAGGCAGTGGAGGGAATAAATCGAGTGTGACAACAACAAAGGAAGAGATTGAGACGCGACTTGTCAATATCTATTTCCTTTAAAGGATGAAAAACAAACATAAAAAAGTGTGATTCATTGGCGTCGAAGGTGAGGAGGGGGGGCGTGGGGGCATAGGGGGGAAGGGGGGCACAGGGGGGATGGGGGGATAGGGGGAAGGGAAGTTTTTTAAAAGTCGAAATCTATTCCTTGTGATTTGTATTTTGTTGCTTCGTTTTTGTTTTTTCCTATTTTTCTTTCTCATATGCTTGATCTCTTTTTTTTCTGTTTTTGCTTCTCTTCTTTACTCCCCCTCCCTTTTTCCTCTTTCTTTTCCTGTGTGTGTGTACATATGTATATATTTAGAGATAGATTGATACAAAAATAGATATGGATATATATCCCTCACTCTCTCTCTCTTTACCCCTCTCCCACTACCTGTCTTTCCCCCTCACCATTTTCCTCAGCCTCCCTTCCCCCTCTCTATCGCTCTCCCCCCTCCCCACTCTCGCTTCTTCTCCCTCTCATCTCCCCTCACTTTTCCTCTCCTCCCATTTTTTTATTTTCCCCTAATTTTCTCACTTCTTCCCTTGTTTTTCTCCATATTCCCCTCATTTCTCCCCTAATTCTCCTCGCTTTCTCCCCATTTCCCCCTAACATCCCCTCATTCTCTCCTCATTTTCCCCTCACCAGAGACCCCCGACTTCAACGTAGGCGTGGACAGCAGCTTCCCCTCGGGCATCTGCTCCCCTCACGAGGTCCCGAATCCTCCCAGTCTTCAGCCAAGGACTCAAGATCCTACAACAGAGACGAATCCTCAGCCTGCGTTCCCTCAGCCTTCCCCGCACCTCTCGACCTCTCCCCTGGCGAGTACGTGTGGCTGTGTGCTCTGCTATATATATATATATATATATATATATATATATATATATATATATATATATATATATATATATATATATATATATATATATATATATATATATATATATATATATATATAATATATATATATAATATATATATATATATATATATATATATATATATATATATATATATATATATTTATTTTGGGGGGATCTTTTGGGCCTTTTTTGAGGTGTTTGAATCAATTTGTTTATTGTTGTTATTATTACTATTGTTATTATTATCATTCTTCTTCCTCTTCTTCTTCTTCTTCTTCTTCTTCTTCCTTCTTATTATTTATTATTATATTATCATTATTATCATCATTATCGTCATTGTCATCGTCATCACCATAATCATTGTCATCACCACCTGCAGCATTATATCCGTTGCTATGATAATGATAATGATAAGTAAATTGATAATTATGATAGTAATGATAATAATAAGGATAATCTTCAATACGGTGATAATGATGAATAGTAATGATAATCATAGCAAGGATGATATCGATGATAATTATGATAATAGTCATAATAGCGATGATGATTAAGACTATGATAATATTGATATTGATAAAATGCAGATTTTTATGACTATTCATTCCGATGTATTTCCAATAATCTTTTTCTTCCTTTATTATAACTGCTAAAACTTTCCTGTAACTTTACTAAAATTTTCTTATAACTTTCCCATAACTTTCTTATAATTTTACTAAATCTTTCTTATTTTTCATATAACTTTACTATATATTTCATATAACTATCTTATAACTTTGCTAATATTCCGTCGCAAATATATCCCTTTTGCAAATCGGACTTTGATGTTGTTAAATGCGAAAATGAAACACCGTAGACTTTTTTTTCGACGAAGACATAATCAGTAACAAAAGTCAACGGAACTTGCACATCACGCCTCAGGTAATTAGTAATGCTTCCTTTGTATCTTAATTTAACATTTAATCGCGGGTTTCTACAGATGAGTGATAAGTTGACTGAACGTATTTAGAAACTGATTGATTCTATAAAGCCATTATAATCATCTCATTTTTTTTTTTTTTTTTTTTTCTTTCTATTTTTTTTCTTTTCTTATGGATTATGTATATTTGTTCTTTTTCTTTTCTTATAATGTTTTATTTATTTTTCTTTTTTATAATGTTTTTCTATTTTTTTCTTTTCTTTTTTAATAATATATATTTTTTTCTTTTCTTTTCTTTTTCTTATATTTCTTTCCTTATATTTGTTTTTTAATTTTATTCTAATACATTATCTTCTATTTTTTTCTTTTATGATATATAAAGGAAAAAATATTTTAGTCTTTTATGATATTTTTTAAGTGTTTCTCTTCTCATCTTTTTATGTTCTCATACTGTTTTTCTTTTATTTTCTTACAATATTTCTCTTGCTCTTTTCTTTTATTATAATATTTTTTTTTCTTTTTCATGTCCTTCAATATTTTTTTCTTTTCTTTTCCTGAAATATTTTTTTCTCACTTTTTTCTTTATTATGTATCTTGACTTTTTAAAAATGACATTTTGCTTACTTTTTCTTCTCTTTTCTTCATTTTTTATTTTTACTACTACCATTCCTATTACAACTAATGATGAAAATAATAATGATGATAATAATGATAATAATGATGGTAGTAATGATAATAATAATAATAACAATGATAATGATAATAATAATGGTGATGATAATAATAATGGTGATAATAATAATAATGATAATAACAATGATAATAATGATAATAATAATAATAATAATAATAATAATAATAATAATAATAATAATAATAATAATAATAATCAAATAATATAATAATAATAATAATAATAATATAATAATGATGGATGATGATGATGATAATACCTGATGACAAGACCCAACCAGTTCCAGACCCTCGCTCCATCCTCAGCCAGGACGCCTCCGTGGTCAGTCCCCACCATTTAGTGGATGTCATTCCCCCTCATATTTCTCCGAGCCCTCAGCAACAGCAACAACAACAACAGCAACAGCAACAACACCAGCAATTACAACAGCAACAACAGCAAGGGTTATTACCTATAGAAAAACAGGAGGAGCCAGTTTCACAACCCGATTCTACACAGCCGAGGCTTGAGGGTATGTAATGGTAATGGAAATTAATGGTAATGATGATAACCCAAATGGAAATGATAACCATAGAAATGATAACCATCCAATAATATCCGTTAAAGTAATGGTAATGGTAATATCTAATATGTTATTATCTAATAACCATTAGATAATAACACCATGGAATAATAACCATGAAAATAATGGTAATGGTAGTGAAAATGGTTGTGATTGTGTTAATAGTCTAGTGAGCTGCAATGATGATTAGTGTGAGTTGATAACGTAATGAGGAAAATGAAGATAATGATGGTAATTAGATTGGCAGTACAATGATGGTGCTTTTATTAGAGAGAGAGAGAGAGAGAGAGAGAGAGAGAGAGAGAGAGAGAGAGAGAGAGAGAGAGAGAGAGAGATGAGAGAGAGAGAGAGAGAGAGAGAGAGAGAAGAGACAGACAGACAGAGAGAGACAGAGACAGAGAGATTGCGATGGTGATGTAAATGAGGGTGATGAAAATTATAATAGCAATAGTGATAGTGATAATGATGATTATGATAATGGTATTGGTGATGATGGTGATAATGATAATAATAAAAATAGTAAAAGTAATGACGCTAATTTTACTGATAATAAAGATAATAGTAATAATGACGATGACAGTAATAATAATGATGATAATAGTAACAGTAATAACTTTAATAACAATAATGATAATAATAATGATAATAATAATGACAACAATAACAATAACGATAATAATCATAATGATAATATTGGTAATAAAAAGTAACGTGTCATCACCAATACCCAAAATAACATAACCAATACTTGCATCATTCCCATCACAACCACCATTGCCACAACCCGGTTATCACAAGACCGTATCACAACATCCATTATCTCCAGGCACAGCGGAGACCACAGACGAAGAAGAGGAAGAGGAAGAGGGGAGAAGAGGAGGAGGAGGAGAAGGAGAAACAAACAGTAAGAAGAGAAAGAGGAGGATCCTGTTCAGCAAAGCACAAACTTACGAATTGGAGCGCAGGTTCCGCCAGCAGCGCTACCTGTCCGCGCCCGAGAGAGAACACCTGGCTTCTATTATCAACTTGACGCCCACGCAGGTAGGGCTGGCGGGGCAAGGTGGGTTGGTGCTGGGTTGGGTCGAAGGGGGGGGGGGGTTTTTTTTTTTTTTTTTTTTAGGGATGGGGTGTTTTTTGTGTTATCTTTTGTCTTTTTAATTTTGTTGATTACTTTTTGTTTTTTTCTATTTTCTATTACTATTTGTTTTGTCTTCTATTTTGTCTTTTCTATCTTTTATTATATTTTCAAAGTCTTTTCTTAGTTTATCATTGTTATAATAATGATAATAATGGTAATAATAATAACTATTATTATTAATATTATTATCATTATCATTGCTATTACCATCATTATTGTTATTATTATTGTTTTTATTTTACTTGTTTGTTTTTGAGAGGGTCTGTTTAATTCATTTCATTATATCTTGATGTTTGTCTGATCCTCTTTGTCTGTCTGTCTGTTTCTGTATTTATTTATTTCTCTCTCCTCTGCCAGTCTCTCTCTCTTTCTCTCGTTCTCTCAGAAATTGTTTTTTTCTCAGCATAATTTTTTGCAGTAATGAATTAATTTAGTATCAAAAAATCATATTTCTTCCACCTAAACGTAAAAATATTTGAAATTTTATTATCATTATTAATCTTCTACGTTCTAACATTCGAAATAATTCACATGCAAAAAACTAGAATTTGACTGTTTTAACATCAATTATAATCATATGCCTCTTGGATTGGAACTAAAACTGGTGGATGAGGTGGATCGCGAGGCATAAGTCGGATTGATGGATAAGGTGGAACGTAAAAGATTAGGTGGATTGATGGATGAAGTGGAGCATGAGGGATTAGGTGAATTGGTGGCGAGGCGGAACGTGAAGGATAAGTTGGCTTGGCGGATGAGGTGGAACGTAAAAGATTAAGTGGATTAGTGGATGCAGTGAATGGACAGCGGTCTTAGGATGAACAACTTGATAAACAAAATATCGCTCCATTCATATCTGGTTTAGAGCTATGTTCAAACCTTGTAAAGTCGGTTTAAATGAGCTCTAAACCAGATTTAAACATAACTCCGGTCAAATCTGGTTTAGTTTACTGCTCTGTTTAAAAATGGTTTACAGTTCTATATGAAACTGGTTTAAAATCTACTTAAATCCGGTTCCTTTCAGAGTTCCTTTCAAATCTGAATTTTGAGCAGTATTTAAACCTGGTTTAGAGCTCTCATAAACCTACTTTAAAACTCCGTTCAAATATGGTTTAGAGCTGTTATTAAACGTGGCTTAGAACTCTATTTAGACCTAGTTTAGAGATGTATTTAGATATGTTGTAAAAAGCTTATATTGCCATTTTGATTTGATTATCTGTTTGTTTATAGGTTTATAGTATTCTTTAGCATGCCTCATTTATTATACTCTCATTCTTCATTTATCATAGACTATCATTTATCATTATCATTCCTCATTGACTTTCTAATTCCTCATTTATTATAGACTATTATCCCTCATTTATTATATACTCATTCTTCATTTATCATAGACAGTAATTCCTCACAAAATATCAATTATGATTCTCATTTATCATAAACTTTATCATTCCTCATTTATCATAGACTATTATTCGTTATTTATCACATTTGCAGCACGATATTCATAATGACTAACCATTCCTTCCCCCGCAGGTGAAGATCTGGTTCCAGAATCACCGCTACAAGACGAAGAAACAGCGGACGGATCGCAGCGTGGAACTCGGCCCCCTCACCTCGCCCCGCCGCGTACCCGTGCCCGTGCTGGTACGTGACGGAAAGCCCGTACCCGTGCACCACCCTCCACCGCCCCAGTTCAACACCACGCCCTCCTACACGCCCTCGTTCCTCGACGTGGGCGGGTACTACCAGCAGGCGACCGCTCACATGAGGGGCATCCCGACGCCTTCCTTGCCCCACTCGACTTACGCCTCGATGGGGATGATGTCCGCAGCCGCCGCGTATAATAGCCCGGGCCTCCAGGGGCAGTACGGGAGCCACGCCCTCACGCCCGCGGTCACCTCCTCCGCCACCCTGCACTACGCAGCGCCGCCCACGATGGCCGAGGCTCCCGACCCCTCCTTCGCCCCCGCGCAGTATACCGCCCCCGGGTTCTCCTACTCGGCCCAGACGTAAGGGGGAGAGGGAGAGGAAGTAAAATATAAGAAGGTACGGGGAAATAAAAGAAAGAAAGGAAGACGTAGAGTGGGAAGGGGAGAGGAAGGAGGGAAAAAGAGAGGTGAGGTTGAGGAGATAGGAAGAGGCGGAAGTACAGAGGAAAGGAGAGGCAAGGGATAGGGGGATGAAACCTATTAGTGATACCAGCGATCCTCGAACTGACCAATCCTATTGACGGTCTTCGCTAGCAATGCTCACAACTTGGTGTTCCTTTAGAAATCTTAACTAGCATACATTACCGCGCTACCCTTTAATCTGGGTAAGGTTTTCAATAGCATGTGTGACTAGCCGCGTGAGTTCCCAGAGGATAAAAATGTGCAGGACATAACCCTCGTATACACGGGTCTTTGGGAAGTTTAACATGAATCTTGGGAGAAAATCTAGAGCTATGTTTTTAAGTACGGGATGTCCGTCAGTCTCTATTTATTCATACATATAAAGCCCTGCTATTCACATCATTTCAGATTATCGAAGAAGAAAAAATGGAAGTTTGGTAAAGAGATTGAAAAGTGTACTGGGTGACTATGTACTGTTTTTTTTTTTTTTTTTTTTTTTTTTCTCTCTCTCTCTCTCTCTCTCTCTCTCTCTCTCTCTCTCTCTCTCTCTCTCTCTCTCTCTCTCTTCTCTCTCTCTCTCTCTCTCTTCTCTCTCTCTCTCTCTCTCTCTCTCTCTCTCTCTCTTCTCTCTCTCTCTCTCTCTCTCTCTCTCTCTCTCTCTCTCTCTCTCTCTCTCTCTCTCTTCTCTCTCTCTCTCTCTCCCCCAAAAAAAAAAAAAAAAAAAAATAATAGCAGACCAATGAGTAAGCCAGATCACATGAGTAAATCGATGAGTAACCAAGTATGAGTAACTCTCCTCTCCCTCCACCCTCTCCCACCTTCAATGGGAATTCCTTTCAAACAAACAAACAAACAAATTCATAAAGAGAACGGTGGCAACTATGGACTATTTTGAATGGCAAAGAAAACGGGAATTTCGATGTCTCTTCCTTGTGCATTTTATTGTTTTACTGTGTGTTCATATTATCTTTTTTATATGCTGAGAAGAGAGAACTGCAATGACATGATACCGAAAGAAATGAAAAGAAATAAATAATAAGAGAATAATTATATTAACGAGAAGTTTAATTTCCCCCCCTATTTTTTTACATGACCAAATATCTGTGATGAGAGAAAAAAATATTCTTTTTCAAGACATTGTTTTTTCTTTTGTTAACTAAAATATAGATAGATTTTTGTTTTCTTGAGATATTTCTTGTCAACAAACATTCATTTTCCGAAGACAAATTCTCTATCTTTACCGAGAGAAGTTTTGCATTACCATAATATTGCATTTTTAAATTTTTTTTTTTCACTTTTCTTTCTTTTGTTGATGATGTAACAGCGAGAAGTAAATAACACATTGGAAATAACAGGTTAATAATGGTAATAAGGATGATGATGATAATAATAATAATAATAATAATAGTAATAATAGTAATCATAATTATAATGATAAGGATAACA